GTCTAGTTCTTCAATCTGAATTATGTATCCAACAAATAACAAGTGGACTTACTGCTGTAAAAGTTACTTGAAATCGACCTGCTGACATCTCTGAGTGTCCTTGGCGGCCACAAGCCTAAGCATAGCTGGCTGTTGTGCTGAATGTTTAGGGGTGTGGGCTCTGGGGTTGAGCTGCCTGAAGTGAAGTCTCACCATTGCTATTTTCTAGCTCTGTGTCTGTGTGTAAGTGACTGAAGCTCTCTGAGCCTCTTTACCCATCTGTAAAATACAAATAGTTCCTACCTTGTAGGTCTGTTGTGTGGATTAAATGCAATAGGGCTTGGAAGGTGCTTGACACTAAGCACTCAGTAACTGTTAGCTGTTATTATACAGTTACTGCTACGAATACCACCCATGCAGAATCTAGGTCCTTTCGTTTTACAGATTCAGAAATTTAATCTTATTATAGGGTGATCTAGCTCAGATGAAACTGTTTCACCCTAGCCAAGCTCATAAGAGGGCAGGAAGTCAAATAGCTTATTTAGAATGGGAAATAGTTTCCCAATGCTTTCTACCCATATTTGCTATTCAAGGCGTGCCCTTCTCAAGAGTGAAATACCTGAAATGCTGTCTGGTGCAGACAGAACGAAGTCTGGGGTGAAGCAATTGGGTGGAATACATTTCCAGACTGTGAAAGAACAGGGATCCCTAATTCACAGGAGCCCTACAGCCACCAGATAAGACATCTTGCATACTAGCTGTTAGCAAGGATAACGTTTGCCTTGCCTAACTCACAAAGAAGTTAGTAAGTAAATATTTGTTAAATAAATGCATTCCTTGGGTAAGGCAGGTTTCACGTCATCTAGTCCTTATTCCTTTCCCCTCCCTGTCTAGATTCTAGGCAAACAGACTCCCTTCTCCTCTGGGCAGGATACCATTCACTGGATCACAGCTTTGCTTGTATTAACTGAGTTTTACTCACCCAGATGGAGACAGCGTGATGAATTACAGGAAATACTTCGTTCTCATCAGTAATATGTTGACGCATCTTCTAGTGGCCCTTCCCTACTTCCCACCTATATTCCATATAACTGTCATTCCCCTGCCTGCTACAAATGTAACAATGACAACGATTACCTCCCCCACTCCGGGGGAGGGACCTCAGTGACCTCTCTCTACTGCCTGGAGCCCTGGAAGCCCTGACCCTCTGGACAGAGGTCGAGAGCACACCTTCCTCCGGAAAGGTGATTATCCTATTGGTAGGTTTGTTGTTTTTGGGGTGTTTTTTCTCCCTGCATAAAATTTAGTGTTGCCCTGACAATTTCAGTTTGCAGCTCCTCAGACAACTAGGTGAATGAGGTGGGCAGGTCTGCAAATTTCCCTCTGAACTTAGCTCGATTCCCCTCGAAGAATTAAACCCATCTCCTCTGAGCAATTCCCGAGGCAGACACTCGGCCAGACGAAAAGGCGGGAGAGCCCAACCATCCCTACCTGTTGAAGTTCAAGGGAATGCTTGCCATGGACCAGCCGCCATGAGCAGGCTGGTCGGTGGGCACTGGGGTGAGACAGAGGGAAGGAAACAGCCACCTCATTTTCCTGCCTTGGGGAAAGTTGGTAGAATTCCAGTTGTTCCCTAACCCGGCTCCATCTCAGAGCCCTCAGATAAAATGCCTGATCACTTTCCTTTCCCAAAAAGTTTTAAGACATCAGTAGGGAAAGATTCAGAACTCCAATCAAAAGGTGCTTTTATCTCCTGCCCACCCCACGGGAATCCTAAGGCTTATCTCAGTAACCCACCCGTTCCCCCCAATCGTTTGATTTTCTTCCAGCAAAACACTCTCACTGGATATTTCTTTGGAATATCCAAGGAATGGCAGGTTCCTTGGAGAGCCTTACAGGATCTGATTTAGCTTTTCTCAAGTGAGTTTCAAAAGGGTACTGCCAAGTATGTGAGCCTTTTCTCTCTCTACATCCTCCCCTGTAATATTTCCACAAGTGGCAACCTGGCATGCCTGCTCTTAGAAGCCAGAAATATGACAAATATTCAGATAAGCCCGTGGAATTTAAAGCACACGTTCGTCATTTTGCTGGTGAGGACTGAAGTGCATGCTTTTCGCTAGGTGCGCCTCCCCCGAAAGTGCTTAGAGTTCAAATCCAGCACTTCAGGAGATGATGAATTACTACTTGGGGAATGAATTAATGAATCCTATTTTAAGGTACTGTGACATCTTCATGTTTAAAGGAGTATTATGGTAAGTATTAAATGTAAAGAACTTTTTATACCTTAAAAATTTTTGTTTTCACGTTTAAGGAGTTTAAAACAAGGTTAACCTTTAATTTCAAGTTCAACCTTCTCCTTTTTTTTCAGTGTGTAATGTAGCAAAAAGAAGCTTGAGGTTTGGAGTTAGGCCCATTTTTTGAATCCCAGTTCTGGCATATTCTGAAGATAATAATGTATAATTCAAGGCCTTGTGATGATTAAATGAGGGAACTGTGACATTCCTAGCACATGGTGGGGGATGGGAAAGGGAGAGAGGTGGTGTCCTTCCTACTTGGCCACACCATCCAGTCACTCCAAGGTTTGGGGTCTCTGTAATTCTCGGTATAGAGTTACTCACCCGCCTCTCATTATGGAGGCCAGAGGAACGAGAAGGGGCTGTGTACCTCTGCTCAGCCTGGGTTCCTCCCTATTTGCCGTGTCCCAACTTAGCCTTCTTATGCTTGGATACTTTTTAAAAATGTGCTTTTCTATATTAAATGTTATCTGGGATCTCATACGCCAGAGGAATGGATAGCCTCCCTCACGAAGGCTCTAACAGACCTGAGATGCTTTAAGTGCAACAAAAACTCTTAGCAACTCGTGAAGGTTTCCGAGCATCCGAAACTGGCAAGAGTTTTAGGGAAATTTGTTCACCGCATGATTAATCCTGAGCGGACTGGTCCCGGAAAAGCACATGTGGGTTTTCAGCAAGCAGCAGCCCTCAGAATTTCACAAAACAAACGACCTCATGAAGAGGCCCGTGTACGTGTTTTGGATGAAAGTTCAGAGTGAGGGTAGGGCCTGACAAAGGAGGAAAATGCCAGATGTGTGGACAGCAGAGCTCCTTTGAATCCACTAACATCCCAAGAGACAACACGTGGGACCAGATTATACAACTGAACCAGATTATAACACTAGATGAGGGAAGCCCAGTGGGGAGTAGACTTCTATGACAAGGATAATAAAATTCATCACCATAATTACCCCCAGCCCAGCTCCCCAACAAGAGCCCACAATGGCTCAGCTCAAAGAAGTTATTCATCCATATTCAAGTTGCCTCACTCATTATGCTCAGACAAAACCTCCTTCTGGGCCTCAAATCCTCGCCAGCAACCCAGCAACTCTGCATTGACACACAGCCCCCGGGGAGGGGTCCGGGGACGCTTCTGTCTTTAGCAATCGAGTTGCTAGTACTAGGGGTGGCTGGTTTTTTTCAGACAAGGTTTACCACTTCTTTTTAGGAGTACCTTTGATATTCGGGACTGTCTTTAAGATAATTACGGCTAACCCTTCCCTGGGAGAAAACAGAGGATGCCGCCCAGCGGCCGTCTTTCCTGGGCAGAGCTGGGATGCAGCTCAGTTTGGGGGCCTCCCACACCTGGCCCCGCTGAGCACAAAATGTTGTCATTTGCACACTGTCTTGCCAAAAAGGAAATGTAACTGAAACGCAGAGCCATGTATATCGCCCTGGAGAGAGAAGTTCCAAAGATAGGACTGCCACGAATAGCTCCCAGCCCTGCAAAGAGAGCAGCTCAGTTTCCCCGAAGCAGACGGGGCCCGGCAGAGAGTAACAGACCGTATATCACTTCCCTAGGGCTGGGTATAATTGTCTTTGTGTGGCGTCCTCCCTCAAACCCCTCCCTTCAAGCAGGATTCTTCTGGCACCAGGCTTACCTCCATCCTCAATTTGGAAAATGAAAAAGAGTTTCATTTCCTCAACCTCCAACTCCAAAGATCACAAGTTAGTTTACAACGCCTTGGACCACTATTCAGTGAGCAACTACCGTGGTACCAGATATTGTTTGGCCCTCGGGATCAAGGCGAAGACATAGCTGTGTCCACGGGAGCTTATACTCTACTGTGGAAATGGATGAAAAATAAAAACCCAAGAAAAAGTAAACACTGACCAATGTGCATGGATGCCAGAAACACAGCACATTGAGCCAGGAAGAGGCAAGATGAGAAGAAGATGTAAGAGAAAGAGGAAAAGGGGAGGAGATGATGGCAGGCAGAGCTCCCATCCACAGATCCAGCGGAGTGAAGGTCTAGGGAGTCACCAACACTCAGTCATTGGCGCTCTTGGCCAAGTTTGACACATGGCCCCGAAGGAACTTAAACCTAAATGTTCAAGATAGGCCTCCACGCACTCAGGACCCTCCCCTTCAGTCCTTTCGACACACACTATCCTCTCTACAGAGGATAACGGAGGCCTCTTCCAATGGGTCTCCGCTGATAGGGTCCTGGGTGTGTCCAGCGTACCCTCCTACAGGGTATAAGACCTGGCAGCCCCCCAGAGGGAGACAGTCGCAGCACAGGGGAATTCCACCCCCAGCCCCTGTCCCTCCCGATTCCTTGGGGTCAGTTTCTTCTGAGGCCATGGGCGGTCCTCCGATACACAGCCCTGTAGGAAAGCCCAGCGCCGCTAGTGGAAGGCTCCTGGCGGCTACCCTTCCACTCTATCTCTCAGGAGCCGTCAGGGGGTGGGCCGCCACCGAGGGAGACCCCCTCTGCTCCACACCTGCTGCCTGTGGATTCGGGATCTCCTCCTGGCACCCCGCTCAGCTCTTCCTCTGCGACCTGGCACCAGCAAAGCCGCTGTCTCTCGTTCTCCCGGGTCCTCCGGACTCGTGCGCACACATACACGGCCAACTCCCCTCTGCTCTCCCGGGCAACCTCAAATACCAGGCCCGGGCATTCCCGCAAGTCCCAGCTCGCTCGTCCCCACCAGCAGCTGCAGGGAGCCCCGCCTGCTGGGTCTTACCATCTGCCAGGACCCAGAGCGATGCGCGTCCCAAAACGAAGAACAGAACTGGCACCTTCCACATTTTCTTAGTTGACTTGTTCTTTGCGGGGCCGAGCAGCTCGTTTCTGTGCTGGGGGAAGATTATGAAACAGCCAGAGGTCCTCGCTTGATGGAGCGAGAGACTGGGGGCTGGAAAATGCGGGGAGCAGAAGTCCCAGCGCGGGAGGGGTCCCCGAGTTCCTTCGCCCTCAGCGTCAGCCGAAGGATCAAACTTTGCAGTTGGGAACTTTCGGATCAGAGTCGGCATTTATCTCTCCCGACGAGGGCGAGGGCGGGGACAGCCCGCGCGGTAAGGTGGTCCCAGTTCGGGGCTCCCTAGGACCGCCCCCTGCCTCTGTTTGGCCAGCACGAAAACGATGACCTCAGGCCAGGTTTAAAGTTACAGGGCCGCGGCTGCGGGGCGCTGCCGGCACGCGCGGAGGGCCCGAGCCCGGCAACATAGGCTTTTATTCTGTTCCCCGATAGGAGGGAAAGGGGGCGCAGGCAATAAGCGATTTTTTTTTTTTTGGTAGTTTTTAAACATCATTAGTCTCTTTTTTAAGAGTAAGGCACAAGATTAGGTTTTTCTTCTTAGAAGTAAACTGTTCCTTGTGTAGCCAGTCATTTTAGAACCAAGCAAGGGATTGTTCTTGTAAATATTGAATTTGATGGCTTTAAAAAAAAAAAGTGGCCGTCCTCCTCTGGGTGAGCCAGAGGCGGTTCGCGCTGGTAAATTGCGCCCTTGTTCAGGGGCCGCGAGCGGGCGGGCTCCCGGGGGGCTGCCGAAGAGAGCTGGCTGGGAGCTTCGCAGCCCCGGTGGCTTCGGCAGGTTTGGAAAAAATGCTGAGCGCGAGATCCGCCTCTTCCTACTTTGGATACAGCGCTGCGGTGCTGGGGCCCAGGACAGACCTGCGCAGTCGGTGGGGCGCAGCAGCCCAAGGATGTCAAAGGGACCCACCTGGTCACCAACCTGTGTCCACTTCCAGCTGGGGCTCGTCCCCTTTAATCCTGGACCTTGGCCCCCAAGTCCCCACTTTACTGGTTTAAGCAATCATGCCCTGATCTCAGGTCCGGGATGTTAGCAACAGGAAGAGAATTTACGTTTTGATTTTATTTCCTTTTGAACTCTTGGAATTAATTTTTTTTTTTCTTTTAAGGGGAGGAGTTGGAGAGGTGGCCCACTCCCAGATGCCACAAATTCCATTCAGCAAAAAGAACCAGCAGACAATGCCCCAAAGCTCCATCCTGAGGTGAAAACTGGTTGTTTTCAGATCCTAAACCCCAGATTCCAAATTTACTTTGTAATAAGAATCACATGGGGAGATTGCTTAAAACCTCCGAGTCCTGTGTTCCACCCTCTCCTCATTAATTAGACCCTTGGGGAATCCATATTTTAAGGCGGGAGCCACAGGGATATCTAGTGAACAGAGCCCCCTGGCAGCCCTTCTCAAACAGCGTGACCCTGTGAGTCACCGTTAAAATGCTGTGAAGCTTCCGGGGGAGATTCTGCATGTCTCCCATCTCCCAGGTGAAGTCTTGTCCTGGGGCTACAGGATAGGAGCTGACACCTGAAATAAGGAGAAGAAGGGACTCTGGAGAGTCAAGGGGTCGGAAACATAAAGAGAAAACTGGAGACAGAGAGGATAAGCTGAACTAACTCCCCCATCACGTTAATGCGTTTTATTGGTATTACTGCATTACCAGTAATGTTTGTTGAGAGACTGCATGGTGCCTGTATTGTCTATCCTGCAAAATGGAGAATAGATGCAAATCCACTCCAAAGTAAAAAAAAAAGATAGACAGACTTCACTTGGGAACAGAGATGAAATGCAGCCTCGGTGGGAGAACAGGTTAAGTGAGGCTCATTTAGAGGGTGTTTAGGGCTGGGTTATGATTGAAGGTGCCAACTAAAAATTGGCACCTGCCATCTGCCCCTACAAGGAGTAAGTTACAAACTGCTGTGGCCGCTTACCTTCAACACCCCCTGAAAGGAGTTGGGAGATCAGGAATGAGGCGCTCTGTGCTCTGGGGAAAACTGGTGGGACAGGCATTCAGATAGTCAGATGTTTCCAGGAGGTTTTATGAGCCAAAGTCTTGCATCTCCTCATATCTAGAAAAGCACTAAAATGATTAACGGTGACATCTTCTCCTTGTGACTAGCAGCCAGCCTCTGCCAAAATGTGTGCTTGCCTTCACCTACCCCACTTCACTAAAATCATATATGATGCTGACGTCTCCCCCTACCTCTCTGGGTTTTTAAAAAAAATTATTTATTTTAATTTATTTATTTTTGCCTGCGTTGGGTCTTCGTTGCTGTGTGCGGGCTCTTCTCTAGTTGCGGCGAGCAGGGGCTACTCTTTGTTGCGGTGCGTGGGCTTCTCATTGCGGTGGCTTCTCTTGTTGCGGAGCACGGGCTCTAGGTGCGCGGTCTTCAGTAGTTGTAGCTCACGGGCTCTAGAGTGCAGGCTCAGTAGTTGTGGTGCACGGGCTTAGCTGCTCCACGGCATGTGGGATCTTCCCAGACCAGGGCTCGAACCCGTGTTCCCTGCATTGGCAGGCGGATTCTTAATCACTGAGCCACCAAGGAAATCCTCCCCTACCTCTTTGGAGCAGTTTGTCAGAGCTGTCTGAAATGCTGTCCCCTGGACTAGAGTCCTCATTTTGCCCCAAATAAAATGTAACTCACAATTCTCACGTTATGCACCTTTTTTTCAGTTGGCAAAGGAGAAGCACCTCTACCCACCCTGGCCCCTGCCCTCCAGGGATGTGTTTAGATTCTACAAGGTTGGTCACCTGACCTGCTGGTAGAGGAGTTGCATCTTGTTGGAGGCCATCCTGGGTCTGGGGACAGGGACCGGGCCTGGGAGTCTGTGGACAGGGCCAGGTACTGTTGGTCTAACTGGAGAGTTTGTCTGGGCCTAGTGGGGGACCTTCCTCAACAGCTGCCACGGCAGAGGAGAGAGAGGGGACGCTGCTCCTGGGGCAGAGGTTGGAGCCACTGTGCACCTGGATGACTCAGGGTCAGGCTAAAGAAACTGCGGTGAAGCACAGGGGATTTGGAAGTCTGAGACCAGCCCAGCTGAGGGAAGAAGGGAGCAAGGATGATGCATGCCAGGAGGTTCCTACATTCTCGTGAAACAGCTTGAGTGTGAAAGCGGTGACTGGTCAGGTAACAGTGACATTTACCCGGGAAGTTCGGGACTTTCAGCATTATCTCATGTAATCCTCAGGACATCCTTTGGGTTAAGAACACGGCTAATACCCATCTTACATGCAAGGAAACAGGTTTTCAAAGCAGTATGGTTTCCCAAGGGGCTTCCAAAGCAAGTGTGCATCCGATTTGCCTGGTTAAGATGAAGATGCTGAGAGCTGGGCCCCACTCCAGAGTTTCTGATTCATAGGTTGGGGCGGCGCCTGAGAATTTGCATTTTTAACAAGTGCTCAGGGATGCCGCTGCTGCTGGACCTAGGGCGTCACTTTGAGATCCACTGATTTAGAGAACACACAGGTGGTCTGGGTCACCTAGAACAACGGGTGGAGCCACAGTCCCTCTGTTGCAGGACATGAGCCTGTCGGATAACGCTGGGTCCGCTTAAGGATCTGGAAGGAGAGGTCTGTAAGTTACTTTTAAGAAGCAGGAGCCTCCCTCCACACCCCAAGCTGAGGGTGGGAGACCAAGCTGCAGAAGCAGTAGGAGCAGAGCCAGAGCCCTCAGCCTGGGAACCCCCACCCCGAGGGATGGTGCAGGATGAGTGTTAGAATCTCTCCTGTGCCCTGTGTTCTCTGAGGCCCCTGCACAGTCCCAGGGCAGCAGACAGAACTTCCAGGCTGCCTGGGAAGACTCCTCAACAACTTCTCTTGCTCCTCAACCCACACTGCTCTGGAGCTGAGATATCACTGATATTAAAGGCACCTCTGTGACTCAGGGGTAAATGGTACACTTAGGTGAGTGACCTGGGCCCCAAATGTATCTAGAGCAGGAATGGGATGAGGCTGAGGGTAGGGATGGCGGGTAGGGAGTAGTGCTGGGGCTGAAGGAACCACAGCAGCTTGCTTTGCTGGAAAGAGCCTCAGTGTTTAGGAATCACAGTTCAGCTCCATGGTGGCCTTCAGCCAACATGATCCTCAGTTTCTGCTTCTTTGAAATGGGTGTGTCATTCCCACTTCGGAGGGTTCTACGCACAGCACGGAGTATAACTGCTATGGTTACTGTGATGGTCGTTTCTGCCAGGCCCTACCTGGTTCTCAGCCTCTCGAGTCCTCCAATGGCCACCTGTGCCCACCTGAACCCTCAGCGAGTCCTAGCCTCGAGGGCAGAGGTTCTTGACATGGACTCAGTGGAACTGGTTCCTTTTGGCCTAAGGAAACCCAGCTAAATAAGGACTCGGCATCAACACATCCCTTGCTAGTCCAACCCTCGCCTTGGGCCTGATTCCTGACAGCCCCCTGGATCCCTGTCTGGCTCCCTGGGCCCAAGACTCCCTCAGGGAAACCCGATTATCTCCCAGTTCCACCTAGGAACTAATGTTCTGCATCAGGACCCCATCTGGAGTCTGGCTCCTGCCATTCCACTAGTAGGCTGCTGGCTTGACTTTCTGACCCATTGGGCTACCTCTATTTGCCAAAGCACCCCAACTCTCTCCAGGAGTCACCCCAATGCTGACTGCCCCTCCTATTGTCAGTCACACTACTGCATGCCCTAGTCCAATGGGCAGCACAGAATTTTGCTCGCAGACTCCCTAAAGGAATTTTGAAAAACTAGGTACCAATTATTTTTCATCATAGAGTTAAATAAGTATATTTTTAATGGGAGGTAGTACATGTTAAATGCTTCATGAGAAAAACTAAGATGAAGACTGACTGTAATTGGAAAAAATATTTCATGTTGCGATTTGATAACACAATGATCATGAAAAATTATATAAAATTTTTATCTATGAATTTTTAACCATACATCTTGACATTTTTTGATAAAAGACCTGGAAAACTTTCCAGCTACACTTCAAAGAGTCAGCGTCACTCACAAATTTTTTAAATGTTGTGCATGTGTTAAGTTTTTATTATAAAAAACATGCATTCCTTAAAGGAAACGGGAAAAACAGGAAAATAGAAAAATTATCATATGCTCAGATTTCCTTGTATGTTCGTTTGCAACTTTTTCTTTTGACATAATTCAAATTTACAGAAAAACTGGAATAGTCCAAGAACTCCCGTATACCCTTGACCCAGGTTCATGAATTTGCTTGTATTTTGCCCCATTTTCTTCACTGTTATCTCTGTTTT